CCCGCAAAAACCCCCACAACAACGAAGTAGGTATATAGCTCCGAGCTGCAGTACAAATCCATCTGTCTTTGATCCTCGTAGTCCAATTACCGTTTGTCAAACGCCGGATTACAACGGTATATACGAGCTACCACGAGATCATTAGTACTTGGGTATATACATATTATGGACGATGCATGACGACGGCATTCCTGTTTGTCGCACGGACATCCATCGGTTTTTCGTTTGATGTTGATGGTGAAGACAAAAAAAAAATATAAAAAAAAAAACATCATACAGAGGGGTAGCTTGAACAATACCTATACGTATAGCTGGTCCATGTATATATTATACATGTATAATTTTTCAGCGTGCACCTGTGAACTGATGGAAATTGCACTTTTCGCAGGATATATTGGAGCGACGCTGATTTTTAAGCTTACGAGTTGGAAAAAACATATCGACTATCGAATTTCCGAGCCGGTGTATATATACGTCATCGCTCCAGGGTTGGAACGGACGACGCGGGCTTGGGAGTCGATGAGCTCTTTTATATTTATACGGGAGCCTCGATCGGGTAATATACTGATATTATATCGCTGTACAGCTGCGATTTGGAATAATTATCAAAGTCCCTCCTGTGGACGTCGCAGCCATACGCATGGAAGAAAAAAAAAAAAACAAAAGAAGCAAATAACAACGCACATCGTACGCGTCTCGGTTATGCAGACGCTTCCGTTTCTGATGGGGCCCCGGAGAAAGGTGGTGCGCACCGGCCATACTTTGCCCTCGCGTTCTCATATTTGAACAAGATGCTCGCTTCCATGTGCCCTTTTTTTTTTTTCACTCTCGCATAAGCCGAATGTCTCGCGCACGCATATGTAGGTATATATTTTATACGCGTTTTGGATCATATACGAGACGCCTAACGAGATAAGATAAAAAACGTTGGGGAGCACAGCGAGAAGTAGACGAAGCGGGCGGGGAAGGGCGAGGAGATAAGCAGCGGATCGTATGGTGTATGCTAAAGTCTTCTCACCTCTTTTTTTTTTTTTTTTTTTTTTTTTTTTAATCCCTGACTTTTTTTTCAAATGAGAAATAATATGGCGCAAACGCCGGATATCAGAGAGCGCGGCGAATCGGCCTTCGGCTCTCGTTTCCTCTTGTGAAAAATCGAGGAGAGGAGGAACGGCGGTATGTATGATGATGAAGACGAGAATGACAATGGCTCGGGAGGGACGAGGGGAGGAAACGCCACGTTGAGTAGATTAAAAAACAAGGAGCAAGTGACACACGTGTATATATATATACACTTATTCGATCGCCTATACTCTCTTCTCGGCATTATGTGTGCTTACTTGGGCTTTATTTTTTTTTTTTTCGACACGCGCGCGAGTGCAAGTGTAAGTATCTCTTTTTTGATTTGAGACCGATGCGAGGGTGTGTGACGAGGGGGACTATATATGCTTTTATTTGATGTGTTTACTTGGGAGAGATGTGTCAAATGGACGTGTGGGGGAGTTGATTTTTTTTTTTGTTTTCGTTGCGACACGTGTGTTTTTCTTTCGGCGATGCTTCGTTGGTGCTGTTTTTCGAGCGGACGTGGGTAAACGTTTGTTCGGGCTCATGTGTATCGGAATGTAAATTAAAAACCGTGAAGTAAACGGATGGCGAGCAACGTTACTTTAGAAAAACGTGAGGAAAAATTAAAGTTTTGGGACTACTTAGTAGTACCGAGTTTGTAAGATTAACAAAAAAAAAAAAAAAGGAGGCGAATGGAGAATATATCGCAAAAGGAGAAAAATCAAAGTGAGAGCATGCCAATGAAAACACGTGCGTTGTATGAAGGGTAGCACAAAAAAATGATAAACGAGAAAGAGTGTTTATATATTGCAGTGGAGAAGTCGAAAGAATCAAAAAACTCGAGAGACAACATTGCGGTAATAAAAAGGAGACACGAGGAAAAAAAAAAAGGCCAACAAAAGCCCAACAAGGAGATCCAGCATTATGTTACTACATTACGCGACACTACGCTCGGATGGGTTTGCAGTCTTTTTTTTCTTTACCCTTGGATAATTGTAATGCGAATTTTGCAATGCACGTCAAGTGCTGTCGAATGAAAAAATACAACAAAAAATTATCATGATTTAACTGAAAGACGAACGTACAATTTTTATGGTCATTATTTTGCATCCAGTTAAACGTAGAGTAGATGTTATACAAAAGTCGATAATAAAGTTTACGGCATCAGTGATAGAAATATTTATGAAAAAACACCACCATTTAAATATATTATGTATAGGGATAAAAATCTCAATCAGTAAATTAGAGAATTAAAGAGAATCATTATGCAGTAACGCACGTAAGGATAAAAAAATGTACAATTAATAATTCATTATTCATTTACAATAAAAAGAATATTCCGCTTGTTAGTGTCATCGTGTCGTCATTGAAATCAAATATATTTATAGAATAGTTTTAAGCTCGTCTGAGGAACATTGACTCTTGTTCCATAGCTCCAAATATAACATTTCACGTACGCAAATAGTATAGGTAATACATTAAATCGTGGAGAAAATATACTATACGAGCTACAAGTCGTTACTAAAATCGTTACTATAAATCATTCAAATAATCGAATAGAGCAGATAGTCACCAGCAGAGTTATAAAATCATTTTTTTATTTTGACACATCTGAATAAATGTACATTTTTAGCCCACGAGGTAAACAAATAGGCCTTCACAAATAGGCGACTAAAAAAAACTTTCGTTCAACTCGCATTGTTTTTTTTTTTCCGAAATACACATGTTCATCTGAATTGTTGAAATACCATCGGGGCAAAAATATATCGCCGAAAATTCCTGCTCTTTCCACCACACGTTTAACCATTCTTATTTTTTCCCTGGCTTATTTCGATGCCGTGTCAATAATATTTATGTGGCCCTCATGTGCTCCATAAATCAAACTACAAGTGGGGCGCGTTTTGACATTAATGAAAAAATCCCGACAACCCACAAACGTCTCGGAAAAGAAATCCGACTCCTCGGAACGTTTGATAAAGGGCGTGTGCACTTTTTCCCACGCCTAAGTCGATATCAGCACAGCCGACTGGTACAGGATCGATAAACATTTGCCTTTCTTTTTTTTTTTTAAATCGTAACAACACATATTTATAACTTGCGTATAAATATAGCGATGACAATTGAAAAAAGACAGAGTACAGTACGACAGACAACGGTGATAACACAATGAACCCACCTCTGCGAGTCATCCTGTGCAAATCCATGCTGCTCTCATCCAACGGGCGAAAAGTCACTTGGCACTTGAAAAAATGTTCTTTAAAAATTCAGCATCAAAGGAACTGATAACGCGAGTACACGTACATGGTAGAAAATAATATGTACAAGTACATACACCTGCACACGACCATTCGGAGTCGCGTGCGCTCGATACTCCGACCTCCGGCCACGAGAGATGGAAAGAGACGAAGAGAGACCGGGTGCACCTAACCTCAAAGTTGCTCCGTTTTCACTGCTCCATGCACAGCTTCTGTATATACATATATAAACATGTATGTTGTTGTCACATGTACCGCAGTTGAGATAACACACGGACACTCGGATAAAATATTACAATCGGCTCGGAAACGAAAGAGTCAATTCCCTCGAGTCCCCCCTGCACGAGTCAAGATGAAAAAGAAATTTCCCCCAACTTTTAAGATGTACAACGTAAAAAAGAAAAACGTACAATTCGATAAGTACACGAGACGATAAGAGAGTTAACGAAAGCGTGTCCGCGCACGCGGGCAGCGACAGTGGAGTGTTGTATATCGGTCCTCTCTGCTGCTGCTGCTGCTGACGCTCTGTCGCCGTGCTCCGCTTCTTCTTTCCCTCTACTCTCCTCTCTCTATGCTCCCGCAGTGCGATATAATTTTCCCTCACGATTCACGATCGAGCTAGAGGTAATATACAGGTATACAATAGATGCATGACTGGAAGCAGTGTATAGAATGAATGAAAAGACAGTGGAAAAGTTAAAAGCAAGACAGACAGTCTCGGCGCCGATTGATGTAGGTTGCTCTCCCTGTAGTTTAATGTTTATGCATTCTTTTTCGATTTTTCGTTATGGAGGGGGGGGGGGAAGATATTCGTGTTTGCGCGCGTGCACATGTTCGCCCATTGGAGCATATAGTATGTAGATCGTTTTGTAACGAGGATGATAAGTGCGTAGTACGTGTGTCTTTATTTTTGAAATTCATCGGGGAGATGAATGATTTGCCCCTGGGGGCAGCACAAATCGACGATATGCCATTCACGAAGAGAGAAAACACGATTAGACATATTTATCTACTTTTAACTGTATGTATATGTGTACGTATGTACGACGGAAGCTGATGATGGTTACTTTGATGGATATTTGTTTGGGTGATCACCTCGAGGCCTTAAAATAGCAAACGTTTTCCGGTATATCACTGACTTGCGTGTTTCAACAACTAATGGGGCTTTTACCACGATCGCTCTTTCGAACGGTCGTTATACAGTGTGTTGCGGAACAACCATCGATTTCGAGCTTTTCTTACAACCATACTTTACACTGTTATTTAAATATGTTTGCACTTGATTTCTTGTAGTCGTTTTTTTTTTTTTTTTTTTTTTGCTCGAATCCCTTGCTCAACGAACGACAAATAAGTTTACGCTTACGTCGGACGTTTGATAATTCACAAATACATCTAACTGTACTACTACCACAACGATTAGATCTCGATTTTCGTCAAAGTGTCAATTACCAACTAAACCTTATCATCTCTGGAAGGAATAAACGCAAATCATCGTTTCGATAAGTAATGGTTATTAGATTTTTTGCCCCCGTGTGCCGAACTTGAGTATGATAAGAAAAAAAAAGGAAAAGATGACTTTCGAAATCATACATCGAACGCTATATATTTATGTCTCCATGGACGAAAAAAAAAAAAAAAAAAAAAAACCCCCGGGCCCCGAAAAAACCCCGAAACTGTTTTTTTTTTTTTTTTTTTTTTTTTTTTTTATACCTCGTATGCAAAATGAATGTGTCTCGCAAAAAGATGCAATCTTTTGAAACTCACTCGAATCTCGAGTGACAAGACAAGTACTCATAGTACACATACATCACTTGTTAATATCTACACGTGCTTACGATTGATTGTCCCTATGGGCACGACCATTAGTTACAAAATCTTACAGTTCCAGGCACTGTACTCTTGCAATCCTTTACCTTGTTGAACAGTAAATAAAAAACAAAATAAGAGAAAAAAAAAATTTTGAAACCAGTATTTACAGTGATGGATAAAAAACTATTGAGCAGATGACTATATCTGCCTCGAGGCAAAGTGTGTTTGTCAAAACGACAGGCATTACAAATGTGTTTTTTTTTAAACCCAGATACTCATGGACTCTCCAGTAGAGCGATTACCAGCGGCGAAGCTGCCGCTGTGTCTTTTAAAAATATTTTGGCACTCGGCTGGGGTGGAGGACCAGTGCCTGTGGCGGACATTGCCGACTGGTACTTCGGGCAGACCCACCTCGGTATGGCATCCAGACGACCTAAGGGGCGTCGACGCGTTGTTGCTAACGCTGCTACTGCTGCTGCTGCTGCTGCAAGTGCTACTACTGGCACTGTTGCCGACGTTCGGCAGGCCGATCTCCTGGAAGGAGGACAGTGACGAGAAGCCGCTCTCAGTATCGGCGCTGCACACGCTCGCCGTCTGGGGTCTCACTGCTGCTGGTACCAGTGGTGCGCCATTGCTACTCGTGGTGTCGTTCAGCGCCTAAGTATGCGAAATCGGAGGTAACATTGTGATCTATGATTTTTTTAAACCTTGTTTTTATGCAGACTTCACTTACCCATTCTTTGAACGATTTTAGGGTCAGTTCTTTTCTGTCCACCGCTTTGTTCCTGCGAGTGACGGTCGTTGAATTTACCACCAGCCCATTAACAGGCGTAACAACGGGAGGCGGGGGAAGTGGACCGGTAGTTTGCTGCTGGTGATACCCATTCAATTGTTTATTCGCAAGGCTACTCGGTAGCTTCGGGTCCTTCTCCTCTGGGGGCTTGATGCTCCTTCCACCTGCAGCTGTCATGTAATTGAGGGAACTGACGTCGGCAGAGTGCCTCGCGGCCGGCTTTAGCGTACTGGTGGCGGCGAATATGGCACTGGGACGATGCTGCAGGTGCTTTTCGGGTACGAGGGTCTTGTTGTTGTCGTTCGATCTGTCCAGTGCGCTCGACAGTGCGGTCGAGTTGACGAAGTTCGAAGACAGCGAGTACAGTTGGGCCTCGTCGTCGAGGTTGTTGCCATTGGGGCTGATCTGGTTGTACTCGAGCGAAGCGTCGAGACGCGAGTCGCGCGTCGAGCCCAAGCGTGACAGCTCCGGCTCGCGCATCCCCAGCACCGACTGAACCGTCCTGCCGAGTCTGCGAGAAAAACGAAATGAATCACAAGAGGGTATAACCCAAAAAATAATCATCGGTCCCAACATTTAAAAGATAAATGACAGGTACCTAAAAGCCTCTTCGGCAAGCTTTTCGGGCGGCACCTCGTTCGGATCGACTTCCGGCGGCGCCTTCGGCTTCCTGTACGCCCTACCAAAGCTCTCGGCGTCCTGCGACCTGTTGACGTCCTGGGCACTTTTGCAGGCCATCTTCTTGGCCGCTACCTGCTTGGACCTGTCCTGCACGGCTGGTTGTCCATTGTCGACACTGCCAGCCTTCTCCCTCTTGAAGCGCCGCCAGAGAGTGACGTGGCCGGCGCTGCTGCCGTGGCCGCTGTCGTTGCTGCTGATGCTGCTCGGCGAGGGTATCTGGGCGACGGACTTGGCTCGGGCAAAGTTGCTCCTCGACGAGGTCATTGTCGAGGACGAGGAGGACGAGGAGACCGACGAGTGCGAGGAGGACGAGTTGCACGGCTCCGCGCACGAGACGCTCGAGGTACTCGCGGTCATGCTGGGCGTGGGCGAGCAGCGTTCGGTTCCCGCGCTCGTCGAGTTATCGGGGATCGCGTGGACGCTGCGCGAGCGGGGCACCGCCCGGAGACTGTTGCTGCTGCTGTTGTGGCTCCTGTACACGTGGCCGCAGTTCTGACAACTCCGGGAACTCGGTTGGCGCGTCGACTGGGCCAGCATGGATTTGCGCACACGGTCCAGGAATTGGTTGGCTTGCTCGAGCACCGAGCGGCACATTTTCCGGTCGTACGTGCTCTGATAATGGAAAACAAAAAGATTTTTGTTAGATCAATCGATACGTAACTTGTAGAAATGAACTATTATCGGTTCGATCGTATGTATGGAAAAATTATTCATCGCTTGTAGCAAGTTTTTCACTTTTAAAAATTCCCGCGTAAAAGTTGCTAGTGGCGCCGGCGGCTCAAACCCGTACGGTGGCGACACCTACAGTGACATAGCTATAGCTTGTATATAGATATACTCGTCGTAGGTCCCCCAAGTCCCAGGGAGAGAGAGCTAAAGAGAGACTTGGCACGTTTTTGCCCCTTTCGGAGAGCTTTTAGCGGCGAGCGGTCACGAAGCATCGGTGGTTCAATGGTAGAATGCTCGCCTGCCACGCGGGCGATCCGGGTTCGATTCCCGGCCGATGCATTTTTTGAATTTTTGGCCAAATTTTGGCACTTTTTGCCGTTCCACAACTCATTATAACAATAATGGACATTATTTTTTAATTTACTCACTGACCGAAGGGACAGTGGCGATTCGTTTTATCATTTGACACCGCAGTAGTGCAAGACAATAAAGTTTTCTTTAACAGTCTCTCTACTCTCAAGCCTCACTATTAGTCACAACTGCTTCTTTTATCTGCTCTAACTACTGTATGTGGACGAATCCAAAACACAAGTATAAAGTTTCCAAAATCAATTTCGAGAAAACTAAAAACGACAAAGAATTTTTCATCAAGCTGAGCAACGACATTGTACACTAACAGGTAATTAATTTATTACTGGCGAAGTTTGAAAAACTATTATTATTTGCAAATTAGAATAAATAAATTACCACTGAAACTAAAAAGTAACATTACAGTTAGAATCAGTACAACCCAAACAACCACTAGGTCCACAAGATGACTTACATGATTATAATTTTTTTGTTGCCATAATTTATTGTAAGCAAAATGGTTTAAGCATTTGAATTTCGCGCGTAACGACGGGGGAAGGGGGGAGTGACCAAAATGATAAGCCAATCAGCGTTTTGGATCAAGAACATATTTAATTGTTGACCAATCATCGTTAGGCGCGGAAAAAATACGAATAAAAATAATGTACACAAGATATTAGATGTCGAAATAAAACATTTTTTTGTCAGTCAGTAACAATAATGATAAACAGCAGATACTTAATCTATATTTACAAGTAAATCAATCCTACAAATTCATTTTTCTATCTTCTTTACTTTGTATTTAGAATTTTCTTGTATTTTTTACATTACTCTAAAATAGTCTAATTTACGGGACAACAATAATAATCAAAAACAACACAGCAAACAGTGTAATTGATATAGTTCAACAAACTCAAGACTGAAAGTGTTATATACTGCAAATATCTAATAAGAAGCGATTTTATCACAACAATTTTATCAATAAGAACCATAGCGATGTATCACTTATCAGTCAAACTAAGCTTAAGTCTATAGATACAAAATCCAACAAGTAGATTGTGAAATTATCAGGACCAATAAGACCCAACAGCCACAAAAGTGACGGCACAGCCAGACTCATAAAAAGTTCCGCCCAACACAAAGCAATATATTACCCAACGTCTGCGAATGACACCATTCTTGAGTACACCGTTATTAAAATAATACCTCAAGTCTTGTATATGCGACGATTGATGCACGTGCCCCTCAAAAACGCGAAGGGAGAAGATTTATCACGCGTATCATCCAGTTGACGCTCACCGTACAACCGTATACATGCATTATTCAAGGTAACATGCATTTGCCATTAAAATGTAAAACGCGAGCACGTCAAATTAGCCGAAATCAATCACTCACGAATAGGTGCCACTTACTAGACACGCGCATGAATCAAGACACAAGTATAGTACCATCCTCGTGCAGGAGAGAAAAATAACTCGAAGAGGGGAAGCCTAAGGATGATGAACAGCTGAAGGAAAGCATCGCCTCCAAACTCACGTGCAAAATATGAAATTTCGTATGGATAAAAAAAAAAAAAAAGGAAACTTGACGGTGAAACATTTTGAAAAATTCGAGATTGGTAGGGAGAAAAGAATCATAGGTTCCGTACATGGTCTCACGCGCGGCACTGTTGAATACAGTATCGAAGGAGGACCACATTAGGCGCAAACTAACTACGAAGTCATTAACGAAAGGAAACTATAATTGCCAGCGTGAGATTGTCGTGCTACCGTTGGTTTGCATTTTTTTTTTTTTTTTTTTTTTTTTTTTTTCGTAAAAATAATAACTATACCATGCCTGTCGTGCAATTTATGAAGTTGAAAATGTGACGGTACTGGAGATAAACGAAAAAATAGCAAGTATAGAGGGAAATATTGGTAAAACCTGTTGCAGCTGCCACTCGAGCGTCGAAATTTGATTCTGGAGACAGGTGGAGTCTATCACCTCGATGTTGCTGTTCTGCCTGACGTTCTTTTCCATTTTCAGCCTTGTGTTCTCCTCGCTCAGCCTCTGGTTGTCCCGCCTCAGATCCTCCATCACTTTCAGTATCCTCTGGTGTTCCTGCAACCGTACGTTGGGAAATTAAATTTGTTCTTTAAAATCAACGAAATAAACAATTAACTGCATGAATATTTTCAACGATACGTAAAATTACAGAAAATGCAATTCCAACGTCTCCACGGAACATTTTATAAGCGTACGGTAATTTTTATTCCTCCTCCACTTGTTTTCTCTCCAACCCTGTTATACCGTATAAAAAGATACACACGTGTGTATATATATATTTTTTTTTTCATCACGAATCCCCACTTTCGTCCAAGTTAATCTCGAAACGTTTTCGATTTCAATTTCCCTTCGTCTTCGATAAAACCACTCTACCCATGTGTCGCTGAAAATAGCTTTGCCACCAGCCTCGGCGATACCACTGTTTGAGATTACGAAAAAAGCCAAAGCTCCTACACGCGCAATGAAAAAGGAAAAACAAAACTCGCCGCGGCACGTGGTGGTGATTAATCAGCACTTATAGCGAGGGGGTTATCGGGGCTTTTCCTCCCAGGGTCAAGCCACGCACGGAAACGGAGAGAGCGTCAACTTCCCTGAACGCGCTTATGGGGGAGATCGATGGCAAACTTTGCAAAGTTTTTCGAAAAAAAGGAACAGCCGCGATCGGTCACCTGCAAGGAGTTCCAACCCCGAAAATACACTCCGGCAATTAACATGAATATTCATCGCATCGAGTTCACAAACTGTGGGAATTTCCTGTTATCGATATGATTTACGTGGCATGTTTCCACAGTTGAAAAATCGACACATCTAGTTTCGAGTGGCCGTATTTTTTTTTTTTTTTTTTCGCACGATCGCTGAAAACCGGAATTCGCGTGCACAGCTCTTATTAATCCCGATAATTATTGCGGTCGTAAATTTTATCCCATATCGCGCGGAATTTTTTCTTTCTCCGCAGCTATTAGCGGCGGCACAAGGGGGTGGGGGCGATACTATTAGGAGAGAATTTTATGACACCATTATCCGGAGTATCATAAATATCGATGGCGTTGCCAGAGGATCGGAAAAAAAATGATCCAACGCGAGACGGACGAAGGCAGAGTTCAGCGATGGGAGAAACTTTGCGTCGAAAGGCCGTCGAAGATTATTTTCAAAGTGACGCGCTGCACCGTTTGTTTTTCCTTCCATTCCCGAACGTTTCCCAAGGCGCTGTCGAGCTATTTCCGTGGGACACTCGCTCGTGACTGCACAGTCGAGCAATTTTCGAGCTGTCGCTCTCGACGTGTCCCGGTGCATGAACAACAATACACACTGTCTCATTTATCGTCTGCAGCAACAACTGTCTCGACTTTTCGATGGGGGAGATAAAAAACGATGAATATTACGGGTATCCGTCGGTGGGCCGCGGAACTTTCTATCCGATAATTTCCGAGGTATCGACGAGTCTCTTCTCGAAGACGATTGTTTCGTGTACACCCAAGCATACCGATCAATTTTTTTTTTTTTCATCTTGGGGTTCGTTTACGTAAGTACCTACTTAGGTACCACTTGTTATTTTGAATAATATGTGTTACTTATACGCTTTCATGTATTACGGATAACGATTTTCAACTAGAGTTTTCTAGAGTCGATTTTTCAGTACTGTACGTTTTTTTCTTGCTTGGCATAAGTTTAACTGCGATACAATTCAAAGAATGATAATTTGATGCAGTGGCGTATGGTTATCGAAAGACATTAATTACTATTAAAAATCTGTTGGAATAATAAATATCCCTTGTACCGATCATCGCGGCGACAGTGCATCACCACACGTGCCACGGAGAATCGACAATAATTTACACCGTGCCACCTTCATCTCGCGCACCTTAACACAGTCATTATACCCGTGCACCGTAGAGAAGAGAAAACAACAGAATTGACGAGCACACGGTCCCTCGGCATCTTTCAAATTACAGCTGCTGCTTGGCTATTCATTTCCCTGGCGCGTATACAGACGGTCGGCTCTTTCTCACGAAGGATCGAAAGAAAAGAGGAGGTGGAGGAACGTCGGTCTCCATTTATATGGGCAAGGACGAGAGCTTTTGAGAGGAGCAAAAGTCGGAAGGTACTCTCTCGGAGATTTCGCTGCAATATCGCGTCGAAAAACGCTATGAGCGCGGAAAGCAATTGAAACGCCAGTGGTACCGTTAATATCTTTATGGGATGTACTTTTCATACTTTAAGCGAGTTAAAATGTTGAAAAATATTTTTGCCCTTTAAATCATGACACCAATGTTTACTCTATTAATTGAAACTAGTGAAAATCACTGAAATCCAGTAAGTTTGGTCTCTGGTTTAGATATAGAGATTACCTTGTAATAATAATAACAAATTTTTTATGTGCACTTGAGATGCTAAATAATAGACAATGAATATGTAATTCGAGGTATAAGTATGTACTCGGAGTAAATGAAAGCATCAAATGGAGAGGAACGTGCCACTAAACGGTTAATAAAATTATCATCGCCAAGTGAGTAGAGTTTACCCAACAAATTCAATATATAAAACCACTTTGCTTATCCCTCCCTCTCTGCGGTCTCAGGAAAACCGGACATTCATTTCAATTAATTAACAACCGCATTTCTCACCACCCGAGAAGAAGAGGCCCTTTAAGCTCAGCTTTGCTCTTACATAAAAATAATAATAATAATCATCCACTCACTCTCTCGTTCCTTCCTTCCTTTTCTTTTTTGGTTTTGTTAGTGTTTTTTTTTTTCTTTTTCACATCACCACACTTGCTCTCACTCGTTAACAAATTACGTATCCGTATACACGCCCTGATTTTTAACGAAAAGTCATTGATTGAAACGCGTCTTGTCCATACAATCCTGTCTCCGATTCCTCGGTATAAAAAAACGAAGGACATCTCTTTTCGTTAATAATTGTCCATAAAACCATATCCTTAAAGGCACGCGTCCCGCAGAGAGAATTGAATTGAATTGAATTATTTATTAAGTACCAAGGACTCAGGGGCCCTATATGGTACATGACAATTTCGTTACATACAGTACAGGTACATCAGAGCAATAGCGTAACTATTATCCGGAACACAATTAGGTGGTAAATTAAAACGTGAATAAAATACAATAAATAAATAAATAAATAATAATAATACCAACAACCAATGACAATAGATTAGTAAAATCGCATATATAGAACAAGTAGTGTAATATAAAAAGATACAACAAAAGACAAACAAATAAACAAATAAATAAATAAACAAAAGAACAATCAGATAAAAAACATAGAACATGTCAAAGCTAAAGAGTGATAAATTGAATTGATAAATTAAAAATTAAAATTAAAATTAAAAGGCGGTTTCGCGTATAAGAAAACGCTCCCGCAGATGTCTTTTAAACTGGGGGCTTCCAGCCTGTCTCCTCAGGTTGACGGGCAAGTCGTTCCATAGCCTTGAGGTGTAAACGATGAAAGAGTGTTTGTAACATTCGGTGCGTGCGTGGGGGACAGTCAGGTCCATTTCAGAGCGTCTCTTCGACCCAGGACCATCCACGGTGACAAATTGTAGGCGCTCCCTCAGGTAGCTCGGTTCCCCGCGACAGAGCACATTAGCAAGCAGACACAGGCACTGGTAGTCGCGATTATCTTCGTAGTCAAGTACACGGAGCTGCCTATATACAGGGGTAATGTGCTCGTAGATCCTGGTACCAGTGACGAAACGCAAGGCAGCATTTTTACATCGGCGCAGTTTGGTCCGAAGCTCCAGCGAGAGGTCCAGGAAAAGGCCAGGGCAGTAATCCAGGTAGGGAAATATTAGCGCCTTGATTAGAGTGAGTCGCACTGCTCGAGGCAGGAAATCGCCACACTTACGCAAGCGCATTAGGGCCGCATAACACCTTCGAACCGTGGCGTTGGTCTGTTGAAGGCCAGATAGCGTGCTGTCAATAAATATTCCCAGAATCTTGAGGACGCTCCCATATTCAATAGTACGAGCGCCAACATGCAGGACTGGCAAGCGATCCAATTGCAGTTTGGTAATAAAATTTCTGGTGGCAATCCAAATGGCCTGCGACTTTTCAGGCTTAATATACAGGCAATTGGAAGCAGCCCACCCCGCCAGAGCCTCAAGGTCAAGGTTAGCTTCATTAACAATTCGGGCAGTCTCGTGAAGAGGTCCACTCCTCCAGAGGGTAAAATCATCCGCATACATGTGGTAAGAGCAGTGGCGCAGGACCAGCGGTGCGTCATTTATAAATAGGGCGAACAGCAACGGGCTGAGCAGGCACCCCTGCGGTACACCCGCCACCCTGGAGATCGAGCGGGAACAAGAGCCATCCGAGGAAACGACAGACTGGGATCTATCAGTCAGGAAGCTCCGAATCCATCCAGCAGCCGAAGGAGAAAATCCAAGAGCCGCAAGCTTACACATCAGGAGCTCGATGTTCACGAGATCAAACGCCCTGGCAAAGTCGATGGAGATCATGACGGTGATCTCCTTATTGTCAACAGACCGGCGTACACTGTCCACCATCTGAATAAGCGCAGAGTGAGCACTGTGACCCCTGCGAAATCCCGACTGCAACGGATCGATGAGCCGCTCACGCCCAACAAACTCCTCGATCTGACGCAGAGCAACAAATTCAAGAAGCTTAGACAGCGCGCAAGTAATACTGATGGGCCTCCAGTCATCAAGGTTCCGAGGAGGAAAGCGCTTGGGAATCGGACGAATAGTAGCCCGCTTCCAGCCGGAAGGAAAGACAGCCGACTGCAAAGAAAAATCAAAGACATGCAGAAGAACAGGCAAGATCGAAGGCATACATCCCCTAATTAAGGAGAGTGGCAGGTTATCCGGGCCTCTGGCATTCGATCCAATCGACGCCAGAGCATCCAGTACGTCCGTGGGGTTGACGTGGCGAAAATAAAAACCATCACCTACATGTCTAAGAGTCCGCGCCTGCTCGACGCGTGGTGCGGCAATAGCGTCGCCACCATCGGCGAAATGTGTATTTAAAGCTTCGACGTCAACATAAATGCCGTCAGTTGAGCGTTCCTTCACACGC